TCTCCTTCTTTTCCTATATTGCTTCTACCCATTGTCTAGAGATGGATGACGATTGAGAGGATGAGATTACTGTAGATAGAAAACACACAAATGAAAATTAGTGGATAATTTAAATAGATTTTTTGTTTGTAAAATAATTATGCACCTTAGCAACTTGTGTCATCAATTGCTTATGTGGAAAGTTTCTATTCAGGACTTTTGCCATATAATACTTGTTTATTTGGTTGACATATACATGAGAAAGAATCGAGTATTTGATAGCAAAAAATATAGAAACCATTTTTCAAAGTAAATTGATTATCAGGCTTTTTCTCTTCTTTTTTTTTATATTTTATTATTTGATAAAAATATTATTATTTATGTGTGTGTTTGTTTAAATTTTTCGTCAAAACGTAAGTTATTCTTATAAAATTTAGTTGGTTATTTTTTGTGTTTAAACATATATAATGCAAAAGCACAAAGTAATTATTGAATAAGAGCAAAAAAGTGAAATATTAAAAAATGACCACTTTATTGGTCAAAATCTAACTTATTATTTATGTTTAGTAAAAATAAACATAAAAATTACTTGATAGATTTTAATAAATTATTTTTTTTAAATAAAATCAATAATTATTACTGTCAAAACATTATCATATTGTTGCATACACATATATAATAGAAAAGTAAAAAATAAAAATAATTATTATTGAATAAAAGCAAAAGAAGTAAAATGTTAAAAAGAGAGAGAAAAAGTTGCATAAAAAGATCATTCAAAAAAACTGTTTATAAAGAAAGTGTCCATCATATTTGTCTAAATGTAATTTATTATTATTATTAAATTAACTAAAAAATTTATTGATAAGTTTCATAAGTTATTTTTCTTCTTTAAACAAATACCATATATGTCACTTTCGAAACATTAGCCTATTGTTGCATACACATATATAATGGAAAAAAAATAAAATAGCTAAAAAATATTTAAATAAATAGACATTTCCTCTTCTTCAATATTGTCGTGTTCTTGTTGATGTTGTCAAGGTTAGTAAAGAAACCATGGTTTGAGGGGTTTTTTCTAATTTATAAGGTAAATAGGGGTTAAGGTTTTACATTTTATCTATTAATTTCTGTATAAAACGTATCTCCTTTCCCTGTTGTTTAGTTTACTTACTATTTATCGTTGTTAATCTTTTTTCATTTAGTCTGATTATGGATGATCTCACTAGTACTTCAGAACATATACACTAATAAGATGGAGTAATATATTATAAGGCAAGGGTAGCAACTAATCTTGTAAGTGTATGATATGTACTAATAGATAAGACAGACGTAATTGATAGAGAAACTACGACTGAGTACTCCAAGAATTTACATGTTTGAAACAAAAGATGGTTGTTATTTCGTATATGATTGGTACGATACATTTTGGAGGACAATGTTGATAAACTTATAGAGAAGCATGACTTAGGTCACCCAATTCGTGCTTCGAGGCCCGGCGTTGCCGCTTTGCAGTGCAGAAACGCGTTTTCTTTGTGATTCGCCAAGAATTTGCTAACTATATATTTTGGGAGCGCGAATTATAAAATGAAGATCGTGAATTGTAAAATGAGAAACAATTAGTCGCAGATGATTCTCTTGATGTACAGAGGAAGCCTTATCCAAATTTGCATGGCACATCGAGTCATTGCAAACAGTGGTTCAAGCCACCATAAGGCATCTATATACTTAATATTGATGCAGAAACCTTTGGAAGACAGAATCGAACCAGGAGCTGTGGCGAGAGATTCAGATGAAAACTTTCTTATGGTTTTTGCGCAGAAAGAAAAGGGAGGTTGCACTCCTGAAGAAGCAGAAGTTAGCGCTGTGTGGGTGGGAATTAATGAAGCTGGGAAGAGAGGCCTCTCGCTTTTAATGGTGGCCACAGACTGCAAATTTTGGTCTCTAAGCTGCAGAGGAATGAAGAAGACCTGAAGGGAAAAAGCGGGGAGAGTTTTGCGGGTTAATTCCAAGAATGGTACTTATGTTTCTTATTGCGGAAGAAGAATATCTCATGGAATTTTATCCCCGAAAAGGCCAATATTCTAGCCCACCTATTGGCCCATTTCTTTTTGGGCTCGAAATGTGTTTTATGAAGGAACCAACCTTTAATTATTGTGTATCTTAACTTATATTATGGCCGTTGTGGAGAAAGTTTTGGCCACGTAGGACAAAGAAAACTCCATAATTTTCCATATCATTTATAATTTTAACATTTAAAATTATTAATTATATTAAAATAAAACTAAATAAACATGTATACCAATCATCATGACCTAGATTTGTATCTGTGACCTATGAGAGTTCAAGCTATTATCATTTCAAGTGTTCAACCAGTAGGATAAAGTATATTTGATATTATTTATTACAACAAAACATGTATATCAATCACTAGAATTAGAGGTGTCAATTCTCAATACAATCCACCAATCCAATCCATCCACTTAAATATCCAACTAATCCAATCCATTTGATCCAAATCCAATTAGATTGGTGGATTCACGGATTGATCCATGGATCCAAATGGTAAATTACATTTTAGTACCTAATCTTTTCATATTTTACATTTTGGTATCTAAAATTTATTTTTATATGAAAAATATCATTGGAAATTATGTTTTGGTACCTAAAAATTTAATTATGACATTTTAGTAACTAAATTTTTCAAAATTTATATTTTTGTCCAAAGCTTGAATGTTATTTGGATCCATGGATCAATCCACTAATCCATATGCTCCAAACCATCAATCCACTAATCCATAAAATATCTTTGATGCACGTAATCATAAGATTAATACTCATGTTATAAAAATACGTACAACACATAACATTCTATTTTTATTTAATGGCTGACTTCTGTACATTACACAACAAAAACTATCACGGTTAAAATTTTGCATTCTATTTTTCAGCAATGAATGAAACCATTAACAACTACAAATAACCAATTTTAATTTTTAGTTTATAATATGTTTGATATTTTTTTAAAATAATTAAAAATCCATAAAGCATGATTTAGTTGGTACACATTTATAAACTCTTACATAATTCGACATGTGATTTTCTTTTAAAATTGAAAAATGAAAAAGCAAAGAATAACCTTCTTTTGTATTCTAGAACACAAAGAATTTAATATTTTGTTTGTACGAACTACTATAAATATGTGTACCAATACAGTTATGTTGCAATTTGTTAGAAGAGACTTTTGGAAGCTGGAAACCTAGAAAGAGAGTTGAGAGAAAGAGACTTTTAGAAGCTGAAAACCCTAGCTAGAAAGAGAGGAGAGAGAAGGATCCTCTTTGAGAAAAAGTAGAGTTTGAAGATAAGCTGATAAGAGCTTGAAGAAGAGGATTTCCAGCAGCTTTAAGTTCTTTTCTGGTGGTTTTCCTTGCCCCCTCTCTCTCTTATCTTTCTTTCCCCTTTATGGGGTAGGCGCTTGAGACTTAGTCCCTCTAACCCTATTTAGGGTGTAGTATGTAATGGATGACATTTGACAACCTATGGTTTTATTAAGTTCAATTTGTGTGCCCAATGCTTTAATTCATTATTTATATTCACGCAAATGTTGTTTGCATGTAATTTGCCATGTCTAATTGACTAGAGACTTAGCTTAGGTAGAGGTGATCATCTCCCTATGTTGAGTGCTCATTTAATTGTTGCCTCTTGAATGTTTACATGACCATTGATTCATTAGAGTGGTTTGCCCATGGGTTAAACCCGTCTATATGGTCAAATTCTCAATCCTTCTCTCGTGAAAAAGGGAACCTCGGAGCTTGTACGATCACCCGCACAGAGATAAAGGGTGTCATTGAAGGGTTGAAACTCGCATGGGATATGGGTTACAGGAAAGACATGGTTGGGATGGACTCCATAGCCGCCCTCCAGCTACTCGCCGCCACCAACCTGGAGGATGAGAGGTATCATAAGCTCATCCTCCAGTTCAGGAAACTTCTTAATCAAAACTGGGAAGTGAAACTTTCCCACGTCTACCAAGAATGTAATAAAGCGGCTGACTTCCTCGCGAATCGCGGCCATAAGCTGAGCATAGGCATTCATAGATTTAGCATGTGTGATCCGGGCCTGTCGTATTGGGTCCTGTATGATACTATGGGCATTGCCCAATCTCGATTAATTTAACGTGTCAGGCAGGGTGCCCTTTTAGCACCCCACCTTCTAAAAAAAAGGAAAACAACAATATTGTGCAGGTTATGCGGTTTTGAGCAATCATCATGCTAACTTAATTATGACATCACATTTCCCTTTCGAAAAAATCTAAAAATAAATACGCTATGTTGTTATTTCTCAGCCATACATTTTCATTTAGGTTATTGAACTTTTAGGGAGTTATTTTTTTTTATGTATGGGCTTGCTTACAAAGGATAACTTTTAGTAATTTGTCTCACTATATTGCTTCCACTACTACGTACAGCAAATGTAAAACTTATCCAACGAGATTATATAGGTTTCACTTTTTAATCTTTTTAGATTATCGAAGATTAAAAAATTACTCATGATTTAAATTTATGTCTAATCGAATAATCAAATCCAACCAACGGTTCGGGCAAAGATCCTAGTATGATATATAGGAAAATTGAAACAAACACTTTTAATAAGAATCAATTAAGCACTATAGGACATAAGCTTTACCCTCCATACAACAGTGCTTTTCTAAATTTTAGAATAATATAATCCCATAACACCATTGATGTTGGTTTTACTCCCAAAGGAGCCCAAATAAGTACCATGAAATGAAATCACCCCATAGCCAAACAAATATGATAATTTCGGATTAAACACTTACCTACTGTATACACCACGCTATTATGGATACTCTGAGATAGGGGTGACAATCGGTTTCCCGGTTACCGGTTTAACCGATTACCGGCAGACCGAGATGTATCAGTAGTCGGTAGCGCCTCGAAGGATTTCGGTATACCGGCTCCTTGATAGACCGATAATCATACATGTTTTCACCCCTATTCTGAAGTCGTTTGTGATGAGGAATCTCGTATTTTAAGCCGATTTTACGCTAGGTTGTGTGTTTATGTCATATTTCAGGTCCTGGCGTTGGAATCGAGGCGGAGAAACGAGTTCTGGGTCGAAAGGAGCGAAGTTGGGACAAAGTGGGCTGAAGGAGGAAAATACCCGGTCAGGTGGCCAAATACCCGACCGGGTATTCATCACTTTTGGGCGCCCGAGAAGCAGAGAGGGGCCCGGGCAAAACAGCAAAATCCCCGGTCGGGGATTATGGCGAGTGACCGGGGATTCTTCCCTTAAGCGAAACGGTGCGCTGCGATAATACCCGGTCGAAACCCGAAATACCCGACCGGGTATTTCGACCGGGTATCGCGAGGGCAGCTGATAAAAGAGAAAGAAGGCCAATTTTCAGAAGGGTCCGAGTTTTTGAGAGAGAAATCGATTCCTAGAGAGAGAAAGCGACGAACCAGAGTTCCCAAGCGCCATAGATCGATCTTCAACACCATTGGAGCCCGGTTTGAGCTTGGAGAAGTGCGATTAAACGTCCAGGAGCAGAAATCCAACTTCACAGTATGATTTCCGCGTCTGAATCTGCTTTTGCTTCTTTCTCCATGGAGTAGTTTCCCCATTCATCTGGGTATGGGGAACCCTAGATTTGTATGCTAGGTCTGATTGTATGAACCCAAGTACAGAGTTTGTGAATTGATTATATTCGATTGAGGTTTGCATGATTGAATGACTTGAATCCTGATCAAATTCCTGTTGTTTCTGCTTTGACCTGGAACGAGAATATCTGCCTAGGTTGATAGAGTACCCTTAATCGAAGGTGGCGAATTGGTGACTTTAGTCGAGGAGCCAATTCGCTATTCTGTACCGAAGTTAATTCGGTAGTGGAGGTTTGGTTCATTAGGGCCTCAATCTGTTTACTCCGGTGGAGGTTAGTCGCCCGCTAGAGACTCAGATTGAGAGGGTCTGGAGACCTTTAGTCGAGACTTCAGGCTAATTGAGAACCTTCCGCAGTACAACTTTCATGAAAACTGAACTTGGTAGATTGCAATCCGACTTAACTGCAGTCTAGGGGGAACCATATCCGGGTGACCTCTCTTGACTTGACAACAACCGTTTACTTGCTTTGTGTTTTGTTTGCTTGAGTTGCACTAAAAGTTCACCGCTAAATAACAAGAATTCACCGAGTAGTCATCACATCTAGGACCCGGGTTGACAATAAAACCCAAACCCGCTATACTACGATTTAGGAAGTGGTTGCACTTGGCCATTTTCTAGAGTGACAGTAGGAGTGAGTCAAGTTTTTGGCGCCGTTGCCGGGGACGGCTAGGTTGTTGAAGAAAAGTGATTTCTGTTACTTTAGCATTTTTCATTTTTGCATTGAGTTTTTGTTTTTTTTCCCACTTGTGCCTTCACGGGTTTGCATTGCTTGATTGTGTGCAGTTAGTGCATGACCCGTAGCCAGTCGGGAGGTTTACTGCCGTTGAATCCCGAGATTGAGCGCACCTGCAAACAACTTCAGAGACAACAGCGAGCTAGACTGGCTACGGTGGAGCGCAGAGACGGCCAATTGAGCAGCGACTCCGAGGACGAGTACGAGATGGAAGGCGATCAGAACCCGCCTCCTCAGAACCAGATCTTGGGGAATGAACCAAATCCCCAGGGAGCTGGAAACCATCATCATCCACCACCACCGGGTCCCACCTTGGAGTACTACTATACTCCACGGATTGCTGACATCCGCCCGGTCATCCTCTATCCGCCCATTCCTGCAAATAACTTCGAGATCAAGCCATGCTGGATCCAACTCATCACATCCTCTATCCAGTTCCATGGCTTGAAGGATGAGGAAGCCCGGGTACATCTTTCCCGTTTTCTGCAGCTGACGAACGGGTTCAAGCTGAACGGTGTCCCGGATGACGCAATCTGCCTTCACCTCTTCCCCCATTCTCTGGCGGGGAATGCTAAGAGGTGGTTGGAGACCCAGCCCCCATTGTCTATCACCTCTTGGGATGATCTGGCTGACAAGTTCGTGCACCGGTATTATCCGGCATCGAAGACCACTGAGATTCAGCGGGAGATCACTCACTTCCGCCAAGAGCCAGATGAGTCACTTCGTGATGCATGGGAGCGGTACATGGGATACTTCTGGCAGTGTCCCCATCACGGCTTCAGCGATGCTTTCACAAGTGGGGAACTTCTACAGTGCCCTCACCCCAGACAGCCAGAGGGTGATTGAGTCTCTATGCCCAGGAGGGGATATCCTTACTAAGACTCCACCCGAGCTGAACCAGATGATCAGTACCTTGGCTGCCCGAGATCATTCTTGGGGACAGAACAACAGAGGAAGGAATTCCCGGGACCGGGGTGTGCATGCTATGGAGGCCAGGTCCGGGTTAGAGCAGCAGGTGGCTGAGTTGGTGCAGACATTGAAGCAGCCTAACAGTCTCCTTCCGGGCCGAGGTTTAGCTACGCCTCCAGTAGCTCAGTGTCAGTGGTGTGAGAGCCCAAATCACCTGGTGGAGGATTGTCAATCTATGAGGGAGTCCTCTACTCCCGACGAACAGGTGGACTTCATCGCCAATGCTCGGCGCCTGGACCCGTACAGCAGTACCTACAATGAGGGATGGCGCCAGCATCCCAACTTTGCCTGGAGCAGCAACACCAACAAACCACCTGGTTTCGCAGCGCCAGCAGGTGGCTTTCAGCAGAGGCAGCCCTTCCAGGCTAGGCAGGGGCCACCACCACAGCAGCAGCCCTACCAGCCTAGGCAAGGGCAGCCATTCCAGCAGCCCCAGGGCCATTTTGCTCAGCCTCCAGCAACCGCAGCTCCAGATAATCAGATGGCTGATCTGAAGAATATTTTGGCGACATTCATGACCACCAGCCAGGCGAATTTCACGAGGGTGGACCAGAGCATAGCCTCTTTGGAGGCAGGGCAGAGGAACCAGGGTGCTATTTTGCAAGATCTACAGCACCAAGTCGGTGTCCTAGCGCGCCAGCTTACTGCTCGGACCCCGGGGACTCTACCTGCCACCACCATCCCCAATCCACGGGACCCGCATGAGACCGCACATGTCATTTTCACCCTGAGCGGCAGGCCTACATCAGCTGATCCTGCCCCGACCAGGCAGAAGGCACCACTACCTACTTCAGCACTTCCAGCCGGTGATGCAGAAGCGCGGGTGGAGAAGGAAGCCCTTGCTCCCAAGCCACAACCAGTGGTGAAGGAGCACGTACCCCAGCTTCCCTTTCCCACTCTCCTTCACAAAGACAAGCTGGAGACTGAGTTTGCCAAATTTATGGCAATGTTGAAGCAGCTCAACATCAGCGTACCATTTGTGGAAGCACTGTCGAAGATGCCCAAGTACGCGAAGTTCATGAAAGATCTCTGCACCAACAAGAAAAAACTTGGGGATCTCTCGACAGTGCTGCTGAGCGAGGAGTGTTCTGCCATCCTGCAGAACAAGCTGCCCGAAAAGCGCAAGGATCCAGGGAGTTTTACTATCCCTCTTACTTTTGGCAGCATGCATGTAGGAAAGTCCTTGGCGGACCTAGGCGCTAGCATTAATGTCATGCCATACAAATTGTTCAAAAAGCTAGACCTAGGTGAACTTAGCCCTACTAGGATGAGTATTCAACTAGCTGACAGATCCGTTGTGCATCCTAGGGGTATCATAGAGGATCTGCTTGTTAATGTTGGCGCATTCACATATCCTGTTGATTTTGTTATCCTGGACATAAATGATGATGTGGATGTGCCTTTGATTCTGGGTAGACCATTTCTTGCCACCGCCAAGGCGTTGATTGATGTGCATGATGGTAAACTGATCCTGCGTGCTGGGAATGAACAGGCTACTTTTTCTGTGACTGAGTTTGATCACTGTGCTATGATTGCTGTCACACCTGTGCATGCTATTTCTGACCAGGTACACGAGCCTGTCGTGTATCCGTCTGCATCTCCCATTTTGCAGGAGCCTCCTATCGTTCCTTCGCCGCCACTCCATCCAGCCTCGCCTCCAAACAAAAAGCTCAAGGAGGAGTGGCGGCCGAAGCAGCAGGTTTCTACGCCTGCACGGAAGAAGGGTGGAGACCACTACGAGCTGGTCCCACCCCCTGCACCACGACCACCCTGGCCGTCCGAGTACTCACTCGCCTGCATCTTGCCGGATGGCCAGGTCGAGCTGACCACTGCTGGTGGTTGCAACCGTCGGGTGCACGGTCACCACCTGAAGCTGTACCTCAAGAGCGACGTGGATCCGCTCTTGGAGGCACCTGTTCATGCACCTCCCTGAGTATCCACCATGGGCGTCCAGCTAAAAGACGGTAAAGAAGCGCTTGTGGGGAGGCAACCCCACCATGGTTTTCATTTATTTTGTTCCGAGTCGGATTGCGATTTGGTTTGGTTTTGGTTTGTTTTCCTTTGTTTTGGACGATGTATTATTGGGCTGACCATTGGACCTAACATATCGTGGTTGAGCTCTTTGGTTTCCTTTAGCTGTGCCTGTGTTCCCGACTGGTCCTCTCTCCAGTCCGCTTCATCCTGACTGGTCCATTTCCAGTCTCCTGCAGTCTGTGCACACCGGTAACATCGTTCCCCCTTTCCTTCCCTCTTCTCCATTGAGGGCAATGTCGATCTTAAGTGTGGGGGGGATGTTTATCTTTTGACTGCATTAGCTCTGTTTGTGTGCTTGGAGCCTAGTCCACTGTCCAAATTTTTAAATTTGAGGGCTCCAAGTACTGCTGTTTGATCATATTGGCACTGTGTTTTGATGGATGAATTGATTGGTTTTCGGATTAATGCATGACAACTTGTTTGCGACTAGGACAACCTATGATGAGGACTGAGATGTGCAGTAGAACGATGTAGGGGTTCAGTTTTTCAACTGTTTGCTTGCCAACTGTGACTTGATCTGACTTGATCTGATTACTGTCCTTGACAGTCGTTTATGCATCTAGTTCAGGGTATCAGAATGTGAGATAGAGCATATAGGTAGCCATGTGAGATTTGAGCCTGCTCGTTTCTTTCTTGTGCGATAGATCCCTCTTCCATGATGTGTAGCATTCACGTTGTCACTAGCTAAGATGATGGGGGCATAGGATTAGCCCACGCCCAAAACTGACTGTCCTGATGTGTCATATCCCCTAGTCAGCCCCTTTGAGCCGTGTGTTATCCTTTCTTTTGGTCTATAATGAAAAAATCACCCTTGTTGCATCTTTTAGAAGGTTCCACAGAGTGGTTTTATATATTCTCTGCTGTTTCTGCTAAAGTCTATGTGAGTGTTGGAGGTAGTGCTTAAAAATTGGGCAGGTGTTTGAAATTTATGCAGAAGTGGTGGTTCTCTTAAGAAATGAAAAGAAAAATGAAAGAAAAACAAAGAAAAATGAAAGCAAAAGAGAGCCACTACCAAAAATCTGATAATGCCCAGTAAGCAGTGTTTCTTAGCAGTCTGGCTTGGAAATGCTGATGATTATGCCTCCTTCGCTCTTGTGCTCTTAAGATATTGAGTAATGCAGAATAGCAGAAAGAAAATACCGGGTTGTTTGACTGTGATTGTGTGTTTGGAAAATGTGGAACCTTTTTGCTATGAATACTTCCACCACCTAAAAGGCCTTTTCCCCATGTCCAAGACCCTAGCCAGTCATTTGAACCTGTGTCTAAGACCTCCTGATTAGTTAGTGGTGACACCCCATATGTGAACTCTAGCATTTAGAGGCTGCCATCATGGTGAAGAGATGATAGGGATTGAGAGAAATAGCATGCGCATCTTTCGCATCAAAAATTGTCCTGACCCCACTGGTCGAGAGTGAGTGATTCATTTCCATTTTCTATATGCTCTTGTACCCCGGTGAGGACCTAGATTGCTCGGTCTCTATTCTGATGTTTGAGTTGGATGCATGAGTTGACTGTTTTGAGTAGTGGTTGAATCAAGTCTAGGTTGGCTAGTGAACAGACGGGAGACTCTTCCTTTACTCGATTTGCTGCACTCGAATGTCCTTTGTGGTGGTTGTCCAGGTTGTATTGAGGTTGTGCATGTATTGATGTTTGAAAACCAGTGCGATTCACGTGTTTTGTGCCTTTATGACTTGTCCCCAGTGTTGGTTGATTGAAATATGTAAGCTTACCTAGTGTCTGACTTGGTTTGCTTGGGGACAAGCAAACGGTTAAGTGTGGGGGAGTTTGATAGACCGATAATCATACATGTTTTCACCCCTATTCTGAAGTCGTTTGTGATGAGGAATCTCGTATTTTAAGCCGATTTTACGCTAGGTTGTGTGTTTATGTCATATTTCAGGTCCTGGCGTTGGAATCGAGGCGAAGGAACGAGTTCTGGATCGAAAGGAGCGAAGATTGGACAAAGGATGCTGCTGGACCAAAATACCCGGTCAAAGGAAGAAATACCCGACCGGGTATATTCTGGCCTCGACCGGGTATTTCCTCCTTCGGGCACCCGTGAGAAGCAGAAGGGGGCCCGGGCGATGGCGATAAATCCCCGGTCGGGGATTTTGGTGGTAGACCGGGGATTTTCCCCTTAGTCAGACGGTGCGTTTCATAAAATACCCGGTCGAACCATAAAATACCCGACCGGGTATTTTGACCGGGTATCGCGACCAGGCAGCTGATAAAAGAGGAAGAAGGCCAATTTTCAAAGGGTTCCGAGTTTTTGAGAGAGAAACCGATACCTAGAGAGAGAAAGCGTCGAACCAGAGTTCTCAAGCGCCATAGATCGATCTTCAACACCATTGGAGCCCGTCTTGAGCTTGGAGAAGTGCGATTAAACGTCCAGAAGCAGGAATCCAACTTCACAGTATGATTTCCGTGTCTGAATCTGCTTTTGCTTCTTTCTCTATGGAGTAGTTTCCCCATTCATCTGGGTATGGAGAACCCTAGATTTGTATGCTAGGTCTGATTGTATGAACCCAAGTACAGTGTTTGTGAATTGATTATATTCGATTGAGGTTTGATTGATTGAATGACTTGAATCCTGATCAAATTCCTGTTGTTTCTGCTTTAACCTGGAATGAGAATATCTGCCTAGGTTGATAGAGTACCCTTAATCGAAGGTAGCGAATTGGTGACTTTAGTCGAGGAGCCAATTCGCTATTCTGTACCGAAGTCGATTCGGTAGTGGAGGTTTGGTTCATTAGGGCCTCAATCTGTTTACTCCGGTGGAGGTTAGTCGCCCGCTAGAGACTCAGATTGAGAGGGTCTGGAGACCTTTAGTCGAGACTTCAGGCTAATTGAGAACCTTCCGCAGTATAACTTTCATGAAAACTGAACTTGGTAAAATGCAATCCGACTTAACTGCAGTCTAGGGGGAAACCATATCCGGGTGACCTCTCTTGACTTGACAACAAACCGTTTACTTGCTTTGTGTTTTGTTTGCTTGAGTTTCACTAAAAGTTCACCGCTAAATAACAAGAATTCACCGAGTAGTCATCACATCTAGGACCTGGGTTGACATTAAAACCCGACCCGCTATACTACGCTTTAGGAATTGGTTATACTTGGCCATTTTCTAGGGTGACAGTAGGAGTGAGTCACTCCTCTGCCGGTATATACCGACGGTTTCTCGGTATACCGATACCGGTGTCGAGGGATGGAGTGGAGAGATAGAAACCCTAAACAAATCGATCGATCGAGCCACCCTTCTCCCTGTGCGACAACCTCCCTTCGCTCGACTTCCTCCCCAACCCTTTTCCATGTCCAACACCGACGCCGACGCGGCCTCCGCCTCCAACTCTCCGCGACCTCGCCTTGCCTGTCCGACCCCGGCTGCCTCTCCACCGCTTTGCCTCCATTCGACCCAAGGGAAGCGCCACCATCGATTCGTTGTCGAAGAGCTGAAGACGAGGTTCGATCTTTCCAGATCTGAGCACATGGACTGGAGAAGGACAACTCGAACACAGATCGTTCTACAGAGGAGGTTCTACGATCAAAGCAGTTAAAATCGGGATTTTACCTAAAATCGAAAACTGGGGTAAAATCGGAATCGTAAAATCAAATCGTAGAATCGTAGGATTTTAAGTACCATATAAAAATTAAAATATGATAATATTAATAAGGTAAATAATTAATAACACAAAGACTTATAACATTTAAAATGATAATTTTCAAGATTAATGTTCCAAAATCATCATTTTAATTGTTATTTAATGTGTAACTCAAAATCATTTATGAGGAAGGGATAGAGCTCATGGGGTTTGGCTCTTGTTTTTCATGTTGTGTCTAGGTAGTTTAACTCAAAGTAGTATTCCGACATCGTCTACTAAGCATGATATAAAACTAAGAATAACTGAAATCCAATAAAATAATTAATGTCATTGGTTTGGTACAAATATATTCATTAATAAAATAATTTGTTAATAATGATGTTAATTCTTACGCACTAACAATATTCTGACAATTGTTTTACCGATGAGTTAAACAGGGAGAAGGGAAAGGGGTTGACCGAACCCTAATTAGTTTTTTTCATCTTTTAAATATTCTTTTAATAGGAAAAATATATGAGAAGATTTCCGTCATTGCCCTTTCCACCGAAACAATTCTGCTTCTTTTGAATTGGCTCAAGCTCGCTATTTTGTTCACATGGGATCAAAACCCCGATCTTGGTACGATTTTACGATTTTAACGATTTTAATCGCGATTTTGAACGATTTTAAGGTTCATCGATTTTATAGTAAAATAAGGATCGGAATCCCTAAGTAAAATCCTAAGATTTTACGATCATTGTCTACGACGAGATGGCGGCGGGATGGTTGTCGTCTCACTCATCTCCTCTTTCTCCTCGCCACCGCCGCTGCTGATTCGGGACTCGAAAAAGGGCACTAGTCTGGCTGGGGACGCTCGAGACAGCGAAGGAACTATCGTGTCGGCCGGAGATCTGGATTTGGATCGAGAGAGGACGGCGACGGCAGCGATGAGCGGCGATCGGAGTAGGGTTGGGGAGATGAGAGGAAATCGAGAAAGAGGAGGTCTGAGAAAGGTTGGGGAGAGGTGAACGAGAGAGAGAAGGTCAGGGGAGGGTTGGGGAGAGAGATAGAGTATGGTTGTGGGAATGAGAAAGAGAGGAGGGGGGGGTGGGTCTCACGGTAGTCGGTATAACCGATATGTAACTGTTAACCGGGTGTTCGGTAACCAGTTAACCGATATCGATAATTGATTGCTCCCACGTCATGAACGGTATACCGGTAACCGACCGATTACCACCCCTACTATGAGAAATAGTTCAATGACAAAAAATCTCTATCATCAAAATAATAAATGAGAGGTAAAAGATTGAGATGAAAAAGATTGAGAAAGAAGCAGACATGATGATCAACTTCTCAAAGCGCAGGGTCAGGTATATATAAGAAAGCAAACGAGGTTGTTGCCCAAACGAATAGTGAGATAAAATTTTTGGTTTTATCTCATGCAAACAAACTTTTCACCTTTAACCATCATTCCTTCGAAGACCTTGCACATCGGTACATGGGCTAACAAACAGGAGCCTCAACCACCTTATGATAGAAAAATGCTCAGACAAGCAAAGATCTATGAGCTAAACCAACTCTTAATGAGCTGCTCAGGTTTATGGAGGAGGAAAAGCAAGAAGAAATGGTGTTGAGGGAAGCCAGTAAATAATTGGTAGAATCGGAATTTGGAGGAAATGGAGTGAATGAGCTTGCAGGTCGTGAAACTTCCTACTTGGAACTCCTAGAAAGGATGGAGAATAGGAAGTTTCGGAACCTATAAGCTCATTTACCTCTCGTTCTGTCAATTATTTAGTGATTTTCAATTGATCGTTCCCATCAATATTATTTATTCATGTTTTTTTCCTCCTTTATCAACTCGAGGAGGTGATCATTAAGATTTAGGTTTAGCTCTTGGGTGTTAGCTTGTCTAAGCATTTCTTGAACATAAGGTGGTTAAGACTCCTATTGTTGGCCCAAGTACTTATGTGCAAGGTCTTTGAAAGGATGAATATTGAAGGTGAATGATTTTCCTGCATGAAAGAAAGCCAAAAACTTTACCTCACTACACATGACATGAGGGTGACAAGCTCACTTACTTTCTTATTTACATGGCTTGCATTTGGAGAAGGTGATCTTGATATCTACTTCTTCTCAATTTTTTTCCTCTTGAAGTTTTGCCTCCCATTTGCTTTACTAACGACCGAGATATTGCTTTTGTTATTGTTCATCACCACTTCAGGAATCTAGAAAGAAAAGGAGAATTGGGATAAGGATTGAAGATTGTATATATGAGGGGCCGTTTAGAGAGAATTATGATATTTTTGTCTTTGTTTGATGTTTTTTGACTTTTCATGTGGTTAACTATGTAAACTATTCATTTTTCTCTCAATGTGGTATGCATGGTCCATACTGTACTGGAATAGCTAGATTGCACATGCATGGTCTAGTCTGAGACCGTTTAGTATTTGGTATGATCTCTAGTCTATACTTCAGCTTCTTGGTCTGCACCATAGACCGCGTATAAGGTCCGATCTGTATTAAACCGCACCGTTTTGCTGCCTTACTGGTATCATTTTGGCGGATGAGACAACAAAAGAAGGGACTCAATCCGTTATCGTTCGATTCGTGTGGCCTAATCTCTCTACTGTCATCAAGACCGACATCTTATCCATAGGCGGAGGGAGGGTATGCCATATGGGAGGTGTCACAGGATACTAGTAATTTTTGGTAAAAAAAATATCCCAATATAAGATTTATGTATACACCAAAAATTGAACCCATCACCACTAAGTTATATAAGAATGTTCTACCACCACAGAGCATGTCATTTCATGACTAAAAGCTAATCTTAATTTATTTATCACACCACAAACAAAATTTCCAATTGAAATACACACAAAAATAGATCTCTCGATCTTCTTAGGTCGAGACAAAAGTGAGTTAGTCATATCCGTTAGTTTATTTACTTGAAACTAGTTTTGACTCTACTCATAGCAATGTGAGTGTAAAAAGAGCATTTTCAGCTTTGAGCTATATTAAGAAAAAACTTTGAAGTTGAATTGTCGACCAGTTTGCTAATGATTATTTGGTTGAATACATTGAAAAGTAAGTTTAAGAGTGTAAGCAAAGAATGGGTTTTGCATTTCTTTTGAAATATAAAAACGCATCGTGATTATTTGTGGAAGTAAATATTTCTTTATTATATGTGAATGAATTATTTTAATATTATTAGTTTTAATTATATTTATTATATATATATATATATATATATATATATATTACTACTAGTTACTTAGCTTCAAACCTTTTATGAAACAAATGAAGCCATTACTGTAAGCAAAAACATATGATAAGGTCAAAGAGAAACGATGACCATCTACATAAGTCACACCATAGGGACCATGTATTTTGACATTGACACGTTGATACTTACTAGTCAAATACAGTAGATCATAAAATCCGGCAAAAAAAAACCCAAAACCATTTGCAACCCCGACACAATAGAGAAAAGGCAGTTAAATTACTCCAAGCGACTACACAAAACAAATTCTAGATAAAAATTGACGGGAAAAAAATAGTCAAACACAATAGTTCATAAAATCCAGCATAAAAAATCAAAAACCATTTGCAACCCTGGCACAATAGAGAAAAGGCGGTGAAACAACTCCAAGCGGCTACACAAAACA